CGATGTCTGTGATATATTCTTCTGTTTGTTTAAATGCTTTTAAATTTCTGTCAGTAGCACTTGGTAGTTTTCAGCATAGAGGTCTTGGGCGTGTTTTCTAGCACGTATTCATAAACGGTACTTTTGATATTTTCATTCCTAATTATTTGCTGATGATTTAAAGAAATGCAGTGATTTAAAAAAATATTTGAATTGAGTATTCCTCAATGTATTCATTTCTTCTTTCAACCAAATCCAATGAATACATATTTTTCCAGGATATAGGCAAAGCGTGGTGAGTGGCTGCTGAGATCTGGGCCGGGGTGAATTGTGCAGGAAGTGTTAGCTGGCGTGGCTCCGATTCCGTAAACACTTCCCCAGCTGCCAAACGCCAGTCCGTTCAAATTAGCGCTGAGCACGGTCATGCTCCACAGCTCTGGAATCAGCTCCAGCACTGGCGGGCTCTGCGGTCACGGCTGGAAGCCACCTGGTGGATCACGGCTAGAGGTCACCCAGGTGGTCACTGCGATCATGGCTAGAGGTCACCCTGGTGGGTCGGTCACTGATCACGGCTGGAGGTCACCCTGGCTGGTCACTGTGATCACTGTTAGGGGTCACGCTGGTGGTACGCTTCTGTGATCAGAGGGCACTCTGGGCCCCTGCGACCAATGGACTGGGAACCCACCAGCAGCCCAGAGGAGACCTCTGCACAGCCGCCCGTCAGCCCAGCTGCACTCACCTGGGCCCTTCTAGGTGCCACAGCCATGGCCTTGCCCTCCAGTTTCCTGCATTCTCCTGGAGTGACCTCGGGAAATTACGGCTGGTTTAAAACAGAGATGTTGACTTGTGTGTGACTTGGTGCCAGCAGGACAGGCCTGGCAGAGGGGGTCGGTGTGTGCCCTTCGGTGCTTGTCATTCGCGGACAGGAAGTCGTCCTCACGTAGTTGTCCCCAAGGAGGACCCACAGTTCTAGAGCAATTGTCGGGGGTTAGTGGAAGAAAGTTTCTCTGGAAATAAGACTGTGGAGAAAAATGTTTCTGGTGGAAACGTGGCTTGACTGTTACTCATGAAAAAAAATGAAAGGACCTTTGTCCATTTCATGTAAGACTCTGTCAACCCTGGAGCAGTCCTGAGAGCCCAGCATCCTCCGCTCCCACTGGAGCCGTGAACATGTGGCCACATCCTAAATGAGTACAGCCGTGTCCAGCCGTAAGCGGGCATTAGGCAGCTCCCAGGAGCGGGAGAGCAAAGCCCTTGGCAGCACAGCCTGGCCACGGCGGGCAAGGGGTCCCGGCACTGGGGTCCGAATGCAGCACCCCACAGTGTGTCCTCCCCCAGCCCCAGACAGGGCTATTTTGTTGCTTATTAGAAGTGCCTTTTCTCTGCAGTTTAAAACAGTAACAACACAATCTGAATTCCTGGGATGTATCTTTGATTTAGATACCAGTAATTCTCCATGAAACCTTTCAGTGAGTTGCCGATTCGAGGGTGACCTCGGGTTTGCCTGAGCGCTGCCTGCTGCCTGAGTGTCCCGCAGGGCTTCTCACTCAGGTGAGGCCTGGTCAGGACTGTCATGGCCACCTGTCCTGGGAGCGTCGGCTTCGTGCCAGTCCATGCTGGTCATTGGATCTCACCTGAACGAGCGGGGCATGGTCCATCCTTGTGGCATCCAGGTCTGGCCTGAGGGTTGAAGCCGATCTTGACCCAGGGAGGGAGCACAGTGGTGCCTGTCACTGCGGAAACGCTGGTCTGCAGGTGACGTGGGTGCCCTCATTTATTTTCTTTTTTGAGAAGGAGTCTTGCTCTGTCACCCAGGCTGGAATGCAGTGGTGCAATCTCGGCTCACTGCAACCTCTGCCTCCCGGGTTCAAGCGATTCTCCTGCCTCAGCCTCCCGAGTAGCTGGGACTACATGCATGTGCCACCACACCCTGCTAATTTTTTGTATTTTTAGTAGAAATGGGTTTCACCGTGTTAGGCGGGATGGTCTCTATCTCCTGACCTCGTGATCCACCTGCCTTGGCCTCCCAAAGTGCTGCAATTACAGGCGTGACCCACCACACCCAGCTGGGTGACCTCGTTTCTAGGCATAGGACAGAGCCACATGGGGTGGCCAGGCTGGGCCGGGCCGGCTGCACTGGGCCCTGTCCACTGGAAAGGGTGGCCCTGGGGCCTGGGCGGTTCCTACGCTCCACCTCCTGTACCCCCTTCAGGGTCTGTTCTGATGCTGTGTGGACTCCACCCTGAAGGGTGGCCAGGCCTGTGGCTACCTGTTGGCTTCTGGCTTGGTTTCCCCCCGGGTCACCCCTGCTTCACCCCCACTTCACTCCTGCAGCTGGACAGGGTCACACCAGTGTGGCTGCCCAGGCCCATGGGTGAGGGGAGGGCTGGGGCATCCGTTAGAAACTAACAAAGACACCTGATGTCCCATAGATCAGGGTGGCGTTGGTTTTGAACTGGCGGAAAAGCACATTGGGCCTCACAAAATGTGACCCAATCTGGGCAGAGGTGAGGGAAGGAGGTGTCGCCCTCCACTCTTTCAGAAGCAGAGTGAGTGGATGTTTCAGAAACGACTTTTGTCCTGCTCACATATGTCAGAGCCCCCCAGTAGCCTCAACCACAAGGTTGCCAAGCCCTATGATGCGTATGTGCATGCACCTCTGCATGTGTGTACGTGTGTGTGTGTATGTGGGGGCACGTATGCATGTGAGTGTGTCGGGGCATGTGTGTGGTGCGTGCCTGCGTGTGTGTCTGTGTGTGCCTGTGTGTGTGTGGTGTGAGGTCCTGTGGTTCCTGCGAGGACCTTGCTTGTATTCTAAGCACAATTGCGGGTCCCTCGGGGACTGACGCATTGAGCTTTCTGCTCCACAGGACCCCTCTTCTGTGGGGATGTGATCGCGGTACAGCTTGGGGAGGTGGGTTGGAAGCGGACATGGCCCTGGGCAGGAGAGCAGGTGGCAGGCTTGGGAGACACCACGGCGGGAGCTGACAGGTTTGCTGACAGTTGGGGGTGGGATGTTGGGAAGGGTGGGAGCCAGAGCAGCAGCTCTGGCTGAGAGGGGTGTTGTCCCAGGAGCAGGGCTGCGGGGGAGAGCTCTGCTGGGACAGATGAGACGTGAGATGCCCCTTGTATGGCTGTATTCCTCAGGTCCTGGCAGGAAGCAGATGACGCCCAGGGCATGGCTGAGAGGTCACCCAGGGGCTGTTTCTTGAAGTAGACAGGGGAGGTGGGAGAGCCAGGGCCAGCGGGGACTCCATCCTGTGTCTGTAGGGACGAGGGGTGTGTCTGTTAGGAGAGATGGGTCATGTATGGGGAGGGCCACCTCCCAACAGAAGTGAGGACTACAGACGGAGCTCCTGGGCCTAGCGGTGGGTGTCCGTGTGATCACAGTCCCCGTGTCCTGCTGGGGCCACCCACTGGACCCAAGAGGAGCCAGAGAGTGGGGGTTCTGGAGAGGCAGCTTCACAGGATAGCCCCTGGCACACAGGACATAGGACCCACACTTACCATGGCCTGGTCCCCAGAGCTCCAGAGAAAGGGCTGGGCCAGTGATGAGAATTTGGGGGTTAGTAGCATGTGATGGCCTTGGAGGCCCGGAAAGGAATAGGGGAAGAGAGCAGGGGCTGTGGGTGTACCCCAGAATTGGGAGGCCAGAAGATGGGGGCTGCGGGGATCGTGGGGCATCCAGGTGAGTGGGAGCCCTGAGCCACGAGAGCAATCTCACAGGGGCTTAAACGCTACAGAGGGGTCAGGAGTCCAGCATGGGCCTGATGCTGCGCTGCTGGGTAGGGGCACCAGAGCCCCGAGATGGCAGGGAAGAGGGCCAGGGCGCCGCCGTAGACCCAGGGCAAATCTAGATTTCAGCCACTTTCTCACCCCGTGAACAGACTCTGAGCACCCACTGCACACCAGCTTGTGGATGGTTAACAGTGTGGACAAAGGTTTAAGCACCTGGATGAAGACAAATGGCCCAGGGTCAGAAGCCCCCTCGTTCCCCACAACCTAGAGCTCAGACATCACCCTGGGGCTCAGCAGCTCAGATTTGTTTCTGGGTTTGCTGAGAACATCATGGGACTCACGTGCAGCCCCTGCCTGTGGGTGAGGACGCAGGGAACAGGGCGGGAGCTGCCTGAGGACACCGCAGGCTGTGGCCCTGTCCCCACTCCCTGCAGCCCCCACCCACTCCTCGTGGGGCTGTGTCTGAGAGGAAGAGTGCCCCTTTTCCTGGTGGGTTCACCCGGCCAGTGACGATCTTGCCTCCTTGTGTGGCCTGATCCTGGATTCGGTGCACAGACTTCCGTGGAATCTTCCGTGACTGTGTCCCCAGTCTCACTTTCCAGGCTGGGTGTCCCCTCTGAGGGTTCTCCTGCAGATCCCACAGCTGCATATTCCCGCTCTCCACCAGTCAGGTTTGATTTCAGGTTTTAGTAGCCATGTTAAGGAGTAATTCCATCATAGAAGATAACCCTCAAATTTCAGAAAAATCTTCCCCAAATGCACATTCAGGGGTGAGCGTGTGCGTGGCGGGAGATCCCCTCCAAATGCACATTCAGGTGTGAGCGTGTGCGTGGTGGGAGATCCCCTC